CTGGAGATCGAGCCGGCAACCCGGGCATGTGCCTTGACCTGGAATCGAACCCCAGTCTCCTGGATCCTAGGTCGATGCTCAACCGCTGAGCCACGCCCAACCAAGCAGTATAGTACGTTTTACAAAGCTTTTTCAAATCTCATTGGATCCTCACAGCAGCCCAGTGGGAAAGGTATACTTATCCCCATTTTACAGATAAGGAAACAGAGGCTCTAAGGGGGGCAGTGACTTGCCAGAGGCCTACAGCCAGAAGTGTCAGATTCTGGCTTCCAGTCTTTTGACCCTCAGCCCCCTGGCCTGGGTTCCTGAGTGTGACAGAGGCTCTGCTCTCCCTTCCAAGGGAGTCCCAAGCTTTTCCTGCATCTAAGAAGCTGAGGGTCTGGCAGGAGAGTGTAGAGACATATTAGTTTTGATGAAATGTAGTATATTGAATAGCCATATTAATTTTGTCTCTTTCCTAAAACCCTGTTAAGCTCACAGTTAAGGAATATTTAAAGGGAATTTTAAAAAGAGACAACAGCCCTGGCCAGTATGACTCAGTTGATTGAGTGTCATCCGTGAACCCAAAGATCAAAGGTTCAATTCCCCATCAGGACACATGCCCATGTTGCAGGTTCAGTCTCCATCCAAGTATGCACAGGAGGCAACTGATCAATGTTTCTCCCTCACATTGATGTTCTCTCTCTCCCTCTCCCCTCCTCTCTCTCTAAAATCAATAAAAACATTTGGGGGAGGCACAACAGAAGATATGTACAAAATAAACCTTAAAGCTCAAAAATATAAGTAACAGGAGAAGAGAAGAAGCTGAGACCTAGGGCTTGGGAGTTTAGGAAGCAGCAGAGGAGGGGAGGGCAGGAAGCCCACCAGAAACAAGCACATTGTCCACACAGACTCCAGAAGTTCAGGAATTGGGGCACCAGGGATCTGATAAGGAGAACTGGACGATGGGACTGTGAACAGGGCTGGTTGGAAGTTTCCATAAACAACACCAGGCTCACTCCCAGACCCTGGACCCAACCCAGGCAGCCAGGAAAAGCTGGGAGATTCCTTCTTCCCCATTAGACTGGCAAAATTACAAAGTCTGATCATATCAAGTGTTGGGAAAGCTGGGCAAATTAACTCCTTCAAACACATTGATGGGAAGTGGGTTGTGGCAGCCACTTGGCAGAGCAATTGGTCAGTTTCTTCAATAAAACAATTCACACACCCTACAAGCCCCAGTTCCACTCTTTCATATTTACTCCCGAAGAACCCCTTGCCTACGTATTCAAGGAGGTATAGAAAAGAAAGCTCTCAGAAGCATTGTTTGTAATAGTAGAAAGGCAGAAGCAACCACTGGTTGAGGGACAGTTGAGTAAACTGTGTAACATCCACATTATGCAAGAAGAAAATAAATAGGATGAGTAATGTCAATATATAGTGACATGAAAACCCCAGAGAACCAGTTGCTGGGTAAAATGAAAGCAGCAGGAGAGCAGTGCATATAATAAGATAAATGAACGCTAACATACACTTAAAAAGATGACTTCTTTCTACAGGTACCCATGAATATGCGCAGAAACACAAAGAAGGGAGGAAACACCAGACTCGCAGCCGGGGTTTCCTTGGAGAGAAGCTGGGCCAAGGACAGTAGTCAAGGGGAACCCAAGCTCATCTCTGCTGTTCTAATTTTTACAACAAGAATGTATTTATGTGTTACTTGTTGACTAAAAAATAAGTAATTTCTTAAGAAACACAAAATAGTCACAAGGATATAAAGTACAGCACAGGGATTATAGTCAATAATATTGTAATAACTGTGTACGGTGTCAGATGGGTACTAGACTTACCGAGCTGATCACTTCGTAAGGTATATATATGTCTAATCACTATGCCATACGCCTGAAACTAATTTAACATTGTAATGTAAACTGTAATTGAAAAAAATTTTAATCCTCACTCAAGGATATGTTTTTATTGATTTTAGAGAGAGGAAGGGGGGGAAAGAGAGGGAGAGAGAGAAACATGGATGGGTTGCTGCCCCCACATGCCCCAACTGGGGATCAGATCCAAAACCTAGGAATGTGTCTTGACCAGGAATTAAACCCGCAAACTTTTGGTGTATGGGGTGATGCTTCAATCAACTGAGCCACCGGGCCGGGGGTGAAAATTTTGTTTTTATTTTTTAAAAATGCTATACGATGGACATTTAGAACTGGCTCTCTTTCCTATAGTAAACACCTCTTCCCCTCCCTGCACACATCTGTCAGCATAGAGGGCTAGATATTAATAAAGAAAGGAAGCAAAGGGAATCGGGTATGAAAAAGCCTAGCCTACTGGGAAGCTCCAGCTTTACACACTCCCCAGGGGATCGCAGCATTGCCCTGCAGAGTATTAACACCCCTCCCTCCCCCATAGGTTTTTCCATCTTCCTAGTCCCCTCACCCAGACTATGGGGGGGGGAGCAACGTGCAAGATGGTGACCCTAGAGGTCTGTCAGTCTAGCCTGGGAAAAGGATTGGATTGGGTAAGGGACACAACCTG